GCTCAAGTAGAAGGCAAATGTTTTGAGAATGATGATGGCAACAAATGTACATATGTGCTTGACACAATGGATGTATGTATGGATTGTGATAAGAATTGTACGAGCCCCCAATAAAAGGATTTTTTTTTAAAAAGGCATAAAAAACTATTATAAATAAGATAAAATAATAATAGTGACCTATCTTAAGAGTGATTTATCTTGTTTTATCTTCTTGTTGCTTTCTAAATCTTTTCAATGAGCATATTTATTATTTTTTAATGTATGCTCTTTTAAAAATCAGAAAACAAAAGTATACAAATCAATTCTGTGATGGAAGGCACACAGACATTAAGCAATGTGCATTTGCAACCTTGCAGAGCTGATCCTGGGAAGGGAATTACCGACTTTTTCTTGGTATGTCTCTTAATGATCTGATGTGTTCAAAAAAGCATGTCTTCAAATTTTCAAAATATATGAATGTTTAACAAGAAACTTCTCCATGGGAAGGTGGGTAATGGGTTACAAGGAAAACAACTATGAATTTCCAAACCTCATTTTAGTTTAATATAAGTTGATGAACAGCACATACAGTTGAGAAAAGGCATAAAAGCAAAGAACTGTATAATTCATATTCAGATAAAAGCCAGAGAAAAAGACACTGAAACCAAGAATTAGAATGTAGGTTTGTTTGAGGGAGTATTTAACATATTTTTTTATTAGGGTTTATTGTCATCAAACCAAATGAGATTTTACAATTTCTAGAATTGAAAGAGTTGTTAATACTCTGCTCTATAAATAGCAAGTTAAGGCTAGTAAATGGAGAAAAGAAATGTTTAATATGCAACATTACATATTCTCTTGTGGTATTAAAAAGACATCTGTTCTAGGCATAAGTCACATGGTATACTCACATGGGTGATTCTTTCTGATCCATTCTAAGCAATCAAATGCCACCTTTTTAGGCTTTTTGGGTAATACGTAGTATTTCAGATTATGTCTATTAAAACTCATGCTAAACCTGAAAGAAATCCAAAAGATGAAATTCAGTATTATAAGAAAATATATTTATAGTCATTTTCAAAAAATTAAACACCCATTTTCCCCAATGCAAACAGAAAGTATCTTCAGTTGAATATTGTCACTTACATATACTCACTGCCACCAAGTCAATGCTGTTCGTGGTGAACCTACAGAACAGGGAAGACGTGTCCCTTGTGGGTTTCTGAAACTGTAAACCCTGCAAGCCTTGTCTTTCTCCCAAGGAGTGGCTGGTGGTTTCCAATTGCTGGCCTTGTTGTGAGTAGCCCAACAGAGTACGTATATAATAAATAATACACTATATATATTATAATATAATAAATATAATACAACATCAGCAGCAAGATATTTTGGCCCTTTTGGGGGATGGTCTGATTTCAGACATACAGAGAATGAGGTTGTGTAAGTGAGAAGATTTTAACTTTAATGCGGCCATTTTTCATCTCTATTGTCATAGAATGCATGACTCCTGAGAACTGTCCCGAGACCACGGTCCTAAGCCCCCAGACCCCAGCCGCTCAAGTTGCTGGCTGGAGTCTATGAAATTTTCTTAATGTTGCCACCTGTCTGATCCACCACATTCATGGATAGTTTTGCAGCCAAGGGAGACAGACTTGTACCAATAACAGAATGTTTTCAATTGAGATAACCAACAACGAAGAGCCATGGAGCCATTGTGACTGAGATCTGAAAAAGGCCCAGGCCCAGGGCAGCTGGAAGATCACTGCTGCCTGTTTTGCGGCCTTCTTGTCTGTAGCAGTCCCTTCAAGAACATGACTACTGCCCCCCCCCAGCATTCTGTAGCTCCAGAAATAAACTGGAGTTGATCCCACTGGTGGCAACACAGCTGGACTCATCCCAGTGCTCTTATTCCCCATCTCTCCTCCCTTTGCTTCCTAACCCCTGTACACACAGGCAACCGCCCTTGTTGCAATTTACAGTGTACTCTTTGTTCCTTTCTGTCAATGTAGCCACCAGTATCTTTGTGCCCGTACTTTAACTGGCTCTCTCTCCTCCCTGTGGATAGGTGATAGTTGGCACCTGGGACTATGGAGGGTCGCCAGCGAGTCAAGAACACTATAATACTCCCCTCACTTTTCTTTCATTTAGTTTTATTTGCTGTTGGATTTTAGCTGTGGCAAACACTGCAACAAAACATTGGACATTTGGGCTTTCTTTACCAAGGGGACACCGAGGGCAGACGGCATGACACAGACCACAAAGACAATGTTCTACCATTTTGGTGAGCAGCCCTCTAAGGTGTCACTACTGGCCTCTCCCCGACTTGGATGAAAACAAAGCGAAGACACATGGAACCAATTAGTTCAAAGGACAAACATCAGACTCCACAACTGGAGAAGAAGTGTCCAGATACCACTACCATCTGCTCTGAAAGGAACCACTTTAGAAGATCCTGCTTAAAGTGGAAGAAAAATATAAAACAAAACTCTATAAACCATCAAAAGAACCAGGCTTAGTTGGACAGAGACCGGCGGGACTCTGGGGATTCATCCTTGAGGACTGAAAATGAACTCATCCCCACAGCTCAATTTTCAACCAAACAACAGAAAAGCCTATATAAGTGGAACAAAAACTCTAGGGAGGTACACTTTAGAACAGCGGTTCTCAACCTGTGGGTCGCGACCCCTTTTGGGGAATCGAATGACCCTTTCACAGGGGTCGCCTGATTCATAACAGTAGCAAAATTATAGTTATGAAGTAGCAACGAAAATAATTTTATGGTTCGGGGGGGCGGGCACCACAACATGAGAAATTATTAAAGGGTGGTGGCATTAGGAAGGTTGAGAACCACTGCTTTAGAATAAGCAACCATTTGAGATCCAAAGGCAAGTGCAGAAGGGTTAGAAAGGAGGGAGGAATAGAGGAAGTGGGATAAGTGGTGGGCATTACAATCAATGAGATGAAACAAAATGTTTATGAATTGTTGAATGGGAAAGGGATTTACTTTGTAAGCCTTCACCCAATTTAAAATAAAAAATTTAAAAGTGGGGACAGAAAACCCTCTGTTAAGCTCTAATAACTTAATAACTGTACTTTCACAGTTTTAAAAAAATAAATCATTTTATTGGGGGCTCCTATAACATTCCATACATCAATTGTATCAAGCACATTTGCACATATGTTGTCATCATCATTCTCAAAACATTTTTTTAAACTATTTTATTGGGGGCTCATACAACTCTTATCACAATCCATCCATCCATCCATTGTGTCATTTGTACATTTGTTGTATATTATTGCACATTTGTTGCCATCATCATTCTCAAAACATTTGCCTTCTACTTGAGCCCTTGGGGGCAGTTTTCTTCTTATACCTCTGATTTCTCTTCTCCCTTTGCTAATTCCTTAAGTGAGTGCCATTCCTCAAATGCTTGGCTTCTGTATGATCTCATTCAGGAGCCTCCTCATTTCGGTTAAATAGCATTTATATATCACTCCCACTGATTTCAACGTATGCCTCAGTTTAGACCCCTTTTGACAGGTCTTAAACGACATGCCAACTTTTGCTTAGACCACAGGTCTGAATTTAGAGTATGCACATCCCTATGGGTTCACAAAGATTTCCTGAGGGCACATGTTGCTTTCTAAGAGCAAAGCTGATGTGAAAGGAATTAATGTCCAGATTCTCCTTTTTCCCAGGGGCACTTTCCTAAAGCTGGTCTGAGAATGCACTCACAATCAAGACATCCTGCCAAGAGATTTAACAAGCAAGCTAAGCAGCAGCGATGGGAGAAGAGTGCTGACAAGCCCCATGAAGATCGTTCAGGAGCAGAGGCTAGAAGAGATGGACTTCTTTCTATGGACTTCTTTCTGAGCGGACAGAGAAAGCCTTCCCTAGGGCTGGCACTGTGAATGTGAACTTCTAGCCTCTGAAACTAAGAAGATAATTCATTTTAAAATAAGTTCATTTATTATGAAAATAATGGTTATTTCTGTTATAGCAGCACTGGGTAACTAAGAATTAATGCAGGTGATATAATGGCTAAGCACATAGCTGACACTCAAAAGGTTGGTGGTTCAAACCCACTAGCCATGGTTTTGGAGTAAGACGGGACAGTCTACTCTCATACAGATTTTTGCTTTGCAAATTCCACGGGGCAGTTCTACTGTTTTGTACACATCACTAGGCACTGGAATCGTCTCAAAGGCAACAGGATGAAGCTTTCTTTACGCAAAGTACCAGAAACTTTTAGTGGGGTTTCAGGTTTTTACGTGTTTTACAGGTTGCTATCAAAGGTGAAATACACCATCGGCAGCGAGACATTTGAGCCCTTCTGGGGGATGTTCTGACTTCAGATATACAGAGAACAAGGCTGTGGGAGCAAGAAGATTTTAACCTGAATGAAGTTGTTTCTTTCATCCCTACTGTCATAGATGCATTACTCCTGCGAGGCTTAAGAAACTGTGGCTTAACAATAGTGTGATGTTATTTCTCTGGGACACATTTGTACACAACATGCTCAGAGTTCTCTTAGTGCTTGAAATATCAGAACATGGTCAAGGAAACTGGCAAAAGAGGGGTAGATAAGGAACATATGACCGCGGACTATTCTGATCATTCTCAGTTCGTTATTTGCATTCCCTGCTATGGCAAAGGAAATGGTAGCACTAATAAAAGTATTCATTTGGAAAAGAATCTCCTGTGAGCACAAAGGAACAAGACAGCCCCAGAACTGATTTGAGCTGAGTTGGGCAGAAGCTGGGGCAGTGACTGAGCTTCTGTACCCACAGGGATGCAGCAATGACTGCATTTGAGTGGACTTCCCATCGTATTCCCACACTTAAGACTCTACTTTCATTTCAGAACAATATTTTTTAAAAAGCTTTGGATCAAAAGAAGCCAAGGAAAAATGTTGGTCAGAATGTAAACAAATAGGAAAACCTCACAGACAGCTGACGAGAACACAAGATGGTGAAACCACTGTGGACACTGAGTTAAACACAGCTCCCACAGGACCAGCAATTCTACTTCGAGGTATCACTCCAAGAGAACGGAAAGCACATGCCCAGGTGCAAGCTTGTGCACAAACGTTCTTAACAGCTTTATCTACCAAACAATAATGAGAAAAAGTGTGGCATACTCATCACACTGGAATATTATTCAGTCATAAGAAGGGTGAAGTGGTGAGACGTGTTACCACGTGGATGACCCTTGAACACAGCCTGAGAAAGAAGACAGCACACAGAGCTGGGGAAGATGGGCAGGGATGATGAATGGGCCCGGGGCTTCTTTGGGGCTGATGTTCTAAACTTAGATAATGGGGACAGTTACACACTCTGTGAAAAGCCAGTGAGCTGTACATTTTAAATAGAGAAATTTTGGAAATTAAATTTCAATAAAGATTTGTATAAAAGAAAAACAAAGCCAAACAAAAGGCTGGGACATTAAAATACTGTACTTTAAAGAGTATTAGATGTTTCTATTTCCATTACAAAGGTTAGGTAATTGTGATAGGTTTATCATGCTAACTCAGCCAACAGGACTGTGTGGGCGGAGTTTAATCAGATTGCAGCTTGATTAGAGGGCAATGAAATAAATGGCTCCATAAGGCCTGCTCCATGGTCCTTGCTCTCTGGTGATCCTACAAGCCTCAAGGGTTTGCTGCATAACTTGTGGGCCAAGCCAACCTGCGGGTCATGTCTCTTAAGTTTGAGGCTCCTTCTAGACCTGCTTCACCACCCGGCTGGTACGTATATTGTTTGAGCTTGAGGCTGGTGGACCATTCTGCCATGCTTGAATTCGAGGTCCCATCAGGGCCTGCTTTGCTAAGCTCCCGAGCTATTGACTGTTGCTGACTCACCCTGCTGCCTGCAGGTAGACTCTGTCCATCTTGTCTGAGGGAAGACAGCTGTCTGCTTCCTCTTCCTTAGACTAAGCCCTCATGAGTTGAAGGACTTTCAGTATATTAAGTGTTCCACAAAAGTCAGTTGTACTGAGCCCTCTGGACTACTGAGTGG